AATTAGCATTTTAATTTTAGTGATTTTTTTAAAAAATTTCAACTGTCCGGTGACTTTTGATACCCCACTGTACATATGAAATTAACAAATGATAGCTATGAAAGGAGATTCTATTCGGACATATAGTTTATAATAACTTGTGTAACTTGGCATTTTCGCTAAAATAATTAACCTATCATATGATATGTGTGTCATAGAAGGAATGTAATAGAATCTGCATGCATCATCAGGTCATGCGATATACCGATTACCAAATTTAATTAATTTACTCGTGGCGTACTCACACCGAAATACCTATTATGTAAAGGCTAACAAGTCTCCCTATCTTATAGGAATATCGATATCCAAATTCGTAAACTCTGCACTCCGTGTATTCTTTTTCCTTATATGCTCGCATCTATTTTTCGAGATACCAGAAAAAGAAAATGCGGAACCGTTTAAAAGGGCTGTTATTGTTACTTTTTACTTGCGATTTAACAATTTTTTTTTAATCGAATTCTCTAATAATGGAAAACTTTTTATTGACTTTTACACCTATTTCAACAATTACTGTTGCCACTGCTTTGTATAAGCATGCCGATTCGGGTAGTTGGAGTGGAGATCGTGAGCAAGAAGTACAAAGATTCGTAGAAATATTAGAAAATATAAAAAATATGTTAAAGCGGATCCCAAGAGAAGAAGGCCGTTTAAGAAAACTTCAAAGCTTTGGAACTGGTGAAAGTTTGAGACAACGAGTAAGTTCATAAAATCCCTTTTGGAAAAAACATATTAGATATGATGAACTATTAGGTTTTCTAGTATTTGTACTCTAGCGAATGGACTGCGCCGGTTATGGTAGAACATCATTTCCCGCGTGGTAGTAGCTAGTTGCGAATACTATTAGGTTTTCTAGTATTTGTACTCTAGTGAATGGACTGCGCCGGTTATGGTAGAACATCATTTCCCGCGTGGTAGTAGCTAGTTGCAAATACTATTTTTATAATTGCCGGCATTTTCGATGAGAGATGAGATCGGAAACCTAATCTGATCTTGCGCGTTTTTTTAATAGTTCCTTTTTTATTTTTATTTCCGCAATATATTTTATAATTTTGTTTTTATTTTAGGTCTCGACCGCAATTGACGATATGTATTCTCTCGTGGAGTTGAATGTTCTGGTAATTTTTACGAATAATCTTAATATAGTTTATGAGTCAACATTAATACAGTATATGCTTTTTTTTAAGCAAATTGATGCAATAGGTTGGCGGGAGGATGCAAATGCAAATATTAATTCGCTGAAACGTGAAGTTATAAAGGTTCGTAATCTATATTGATTCAATCTTTTATATTCCACATGTTGATTTGCTGTTATCAATTTCAGCGTACAAAAGAAACTTCGGGCTATGAAAAGCAAATGTGGGAGAGAGTTGAAACGGAATTACATGATATAAAAGTGGGAGAGCTAGGTTTTGACCATCCATTGTGTTCCGGCATCCTTGATATCAGATCAGAACCTTTTACAAAAATGCCTACATCACTTTGCAATATATTCAAAGAACCGTTCCAAAAGTATAAGTTAAAACAAAATAATACAATTCTCAATATGTGCAAGGAATTTGTTAAGGATGAAGAGGGGAAAATCGGCTCTAAAGGATACGATATCGTGAGGAATGTCGAGTTTGGAAAATGGGTAGATCAACCCGAAAAACTTGAACAAATGACGAGAGAGATACTGGAAGCGATGTCTATATTTTTCTCTAAACTAATTCTTGATTACTAGTTATCAATTAACATACGGTATTTCTTTTTTAGGGGTAGAATTTGGAGATCTCCGAAATATAAATCATTCACAAAAAACAAGAAACCACAGGTAAACGAGGGGTCTTATGTATGTGAAGTAATTGCTCCGCTGATAAATATTGTGATGAATGATTTACCGGGGGATCCGTCAGCACGGGGTATATGGTAAGTTTATTACACATTAGATAATCACTTTATTTCGAATTATTAATTAATATGAAGTTTCTAAATTAAGGGGTGAACAAGGAAGTTTAGCTAGTGCGACTAGGAAAGGTTCGCGAAAAATTGCACGAAGACCAGACTATATGTTACTAACCCATTTAGGAAAAAAGGCAGAACTTGAAATATTTTACTTAGAAACTGGTCGGCCAGATTCAACTCTAATTAAGCGGGCACAAGATCATAAAAAGTTGGCTCGATTTTCTAAAGATTCTGTTGATACTACAAGGAATGTTTCCACTCTTCAAAGAATATTCAACAAATCAATTACGAGACAACAACTGGCGATCTTTACGGTTAATGTTGCGGGTAATAATTATGATTAATCGCATAAGATTCGTATATTATCAATTAATTAGGACTAAATTTTTGTAGGAGACGTGCTGGAAATCTACGCTATGCGTAAGGAAACGGGTATCTTCAAGTATTGTATACTAGATCAAGCTCCGATTCCTTTGCATATAGCAACTCCTAACGATGTCTACAGACTTATTCATACACTGCTAACTTTAAGGGTTAGTTTTTTTCTTTCGCTCTTATAGAATTTCGAGAGTAAAAATAACTATTACGATTTTTTAGACTGCAGTTGCGTGCACGTTATATAAGATCCTTCATAAGTCTGAAGAAGGAGATAGCGATTTTAGTGCTGAAGAAAGTCCAATAACTGTAACGACACCTAAAGATGAATAATTAATAATTAATAAAATATATCAATGTACTTTATCATATATCAATAAAGCTGGCCTTAGTGCCGATTTCGCATATATAATCGTGTTTATTTTTTCATGTATATTTTCATCAGTGTGATTTCGATATTAATATTTTTTTTCTTGGCAAAAGTGATCTGCGTTCCAAATTGGAACGGACACATTTTTTTTTATTTTGAATAGTTACATTTTATATAAAAATAATGGCAAATACACAGTCTAAAATCGATTCATTAGAAGA